CCTATTCTTGACAAGCAACTACAGAAATTTAAAAAAAAAGAAAAAAGTTCTAAATTAAGCCCGGTGCAGTGGTATACCTGTAGTCCCAGCTACACCAGACTGAGGCAGGAGGATCTTTTTAGCCCGGGAGTTGGAGGCTGCAGTGAGCCATGGTCACACCTGTGAATGGCCACTGCACTCCAGCCTGGGCAACAAAAAGAGACCTTGTCTCTAAAAAAAAACCAAAAACCGAAAAACAAGCAAATTCTAAGTTAGATCACATCATCACATTGTTCCTTTGGTCAAAATCTCCCAGTGGCTCCCCACTTCATTCTGAATAAAAGCCATAGCCCATATAATGGCTCTGAAGGCCCTATGTAATCTACTTTTCCCACCCCGTTCCCTCTTCTGACCGTGTCTTCTGGTACTCTCCCATTCACTTTACTCCATTCTCACTGGCTGTTCTAGCACTTGCCTGACCTGCTCCTGCCTTGAGGTCTTTGCACTGGTTGTTCCCACCACCTGAAATGCTGTCCCAGGTATCCACATGGGTAGTTCCTTCCACTGCAGGTCTTTGTTCAAAGGCAGGCTTCTCAGCAGGGCCTTCTTTGATCTTTGACCCATCCTTATTTAAATTTTTTTTTTTTTAGGATAACAGGATCACTCTGTCACCCTCTGTAGAGTGTCAGGGCATCATACCTCACAGCAATCTTGGGCTCAAGAGAGCCTCCTGCTTCAGCCTCACAAGTAGCAGGGACTATAGGCACCCACCACCATGTCTGGCTTATTTTTAGTAGAGAGGGGGGTCTCATTTTTGCTTCGACTGGTCTCAAACTCCTGACCTCAAGCAATCCATCCACCATGGCCTCTCAGAGCACTAGGATTACAGGCTTGAGCCACTGCCTGACCCTTATTTAAAAGTGTATTCTCTGCCTCCTGTATCCCTGAACCCTATCCTAATCATTAGCATTTTTCTAATACTTATGACTTCTAATATACTGTATAATTACATTGCTATACTTATTGTTTTGCTGTTTTCCTTTAGTAGAACAGAAGGGTTCTCCACATGGGTGGAGATTTTTATCAGTTTTATTCACAAATGTATCCCCAGACCCTAGAACAGTACACTCTGTAAGCATTCAGTAAATACTGAATGAGTGAGTGAATGAATGAATGAACATATGTATATGAGTGCCTTATTAAGCTAAACTCCCATCTTAGTTGCCTCCACCCATCTGTCCTGGCTGTGCTTTCTGAGCCATGGTCTATACAGCTATTCCCTTTTCCAGAAGACCACCCAGTCATCTATTATGTGATTCCCACCCATCCCCCTTCTCCTGCTTTAAAAATGCCCAGGCTCTTCAGCTAATCCTTTGTCCTGGGTCACCCTGGTCCTCTAGACCAGCTCAGGGCTGTCAGTCACTCTTCAGATTCTCACAATGCCCACTAGAAGCTCTGTTGGGTGTGTGCATTGTGCCTTGTGGGGGGGACTGCTGCTTCCCACACATCTGGATCCCTCTCTCCCCTTTCATTTACCGAGCCAGAGGAGGGCCCAAGGCAGCTGGTTGAATGAGATGGAGTGGGGAGTGAAGGGGTCATCAAGATGGTTGGGACAGGCTGACATGCCATTGGAGTTTTCCTCTCTCCAGGCGGAGAAGCCTTGGTGCTACCTAGTGGGTCTGTTTCCCTTCAAGGGCTGTGTGGACTTGACCCAGGAAAGGGCTGTGAACAGGGAGAGGATTCTGACCAAGACATTTCATGTCACTTCAGAAGGCCCTTTCCTGTTTCCCAAAGCTACCTCCCCCCTTGTTGTCTGGGTTATCTACATTCCGGAAGCGCTGATGTGGCACTAAATATTCCTGCAGCTCCAGCCTTCTCCCCCTGGGGCCCAGCGTCATCTCCCTGAGCCTGCTTTCTGGAATGTTTTTGGTATGAAGCATCCAGGCAGGTGAGGGGAGTGGCCCTGTACGATGGGATCCACAGACCCAGGCCTAGATCTTTTGTGGGCCAAGATAAGAGATAGTCTCTTCCCACTCAGCTTCTGGTTTCTCAGCAGGCTTCTTCTAAATGCACCCCCACCCTGCCCACCCTCCCACCTCCTGGCTTAGAAGAGGTTTTTTTAAAATTTTTTTTTTTGAGACAGTCTCTCTCTGTTGGCCTCAGCAAACTGCTGTGGTGTCACAGCTCACAGCAACCTCCAACTCTTGGGCCTAAGCAATTCTCTTGCCTCAGCCACCCCAGTAGCTGGGACTATAGGAGTCCACTGCAATGCCCAGCTGTTTTTTTTGTTGTAGTTGTCATTGTTGTTTTAGTAGGCCCAGGCCGGGTTCGAACCCACCAGCCGCGGTGTATGTGGCCAGCGCCCTAATGACGGACACCGAGCCTGGCTTAGAAAAGTTTAAGCTAATGGTTCATAGGAGGACAAAGGTCTTAGGACCCAAAATCTCTGTGTTCCCTCTGCTTTCCTGAACGTCCAACAACAGCCCTTGCTCAGATGGTGCTGATGGAAAGGGCTATGTGCTCCCTCTCTGCTTCCCTCCATTCCACGCCTCTGTTTTTGCCTAGTATAGGCCTTCCCTCTACTGTAACCTCCTTTCCTTTAGTCCCCACTTGCGGCTTCTCCCTGCTCCCTGTCAGACTTATATAGAGGGAGGGCATGTGGGGTGTTGGCATATTCCTTGTGCCTAGAATAAAGCCTGGCACATAACAGATGCTTAATAAATACTATTTGTTGTTCTGTTTACCTCCATTCTTTTACCCAATCCTCCAAACCCCATCTGGTTCAAATGAGTCCCCCCACGCCCTGAGATATGGCATCCACACACCTGGGTTTGGGGTCTAGTTTTCCCATTTGCTAGGAAGGCAGGTTACTTAATGTATTTGAGTCTCCCTTTCTCCTGTGAAATGAGCATGATGAAAAGAGCATCACACATAGCTGGGCGTTGTGGTGGGCACCTGTAATCCTAGCTACTTGGGAGGCTGAGGCAAGAGAATTGCTTTAAGCCCAAGAGTTGGAGGTTGCTGTGAGCTGTACCACTATGGCACTCTACCCAGGGCAACAGCTTGAGGCACTGTCTCAAAAGAAAAGAAAAGAGCACCACACAAAGAAGTCTTCCCTCAGCATTAAGTAATACACATAGGTGCCCAATACATAAGCACTTAATAAACAGTTGCCCCTATTAGCTCCCAAGTTGCAATTCTTTCCATCATAATTTCTCACTGAACTCAAGTTTTGCATACTACCTTGCTGCCCGCCCCCCCACCCCACCCCAACCCTAGGGCTAAGATCTTATTTGTTACCTCAGGGATGCAGCAATTAGCTCTGTCTTTCCATAGAGTTTAGCACACAATGGAGCTTGATTGTCTGAGTGGAAGGAATAAATGAGCGCTGCTAACTCCACAACTAAACTCTAAGCTTCTCGAGAAGCAGAAGACCTAACCCAGTACTTTTCTGGTGTTTACCGGAGTCTAGCCCAGAGTTCCAGAACTCAGTAGGACTCAAGAGACTACAGACCTGAATACAGCAAAGATGTGGCATAAACAATTTGTTTGCTTTCCCATCTTCTTCTTCTTTTTTTCCCCCATTGCTCTAGGTAGAGTGCCCTGGCTCATAGCTCACAGCAACTTCAAAGTCTAGGGCTCAAGGATCCTCTGCCCTCAGCCATCCAAGTAGCTGGGACTAGAGGCCCCCTCACAACGCCTGGTTAGTATTTTTTAATTTTCGGTAGAAATGGGGTCTCACTTTTGCTCAGGCTGGTCTCCAACTCCTGAGCAATCTACCTGCTTGGGCCTCCTAGAGGGCTAGGTCTACAGGTGTGAGTCTCCGAGTCCAACCTTGCTGTCCCATCTTGCCTCCACAGTTGCCTTGCCCACCTCTTCCCCCGGATTCAGTGACTGCCCTCCGGGTGCGGGGAGGGAAGGTCCAGTGCTCCACCAAGCAGGCCCCCATAGGTGGCAGAGGACTGGTACACTGTGGAGCAAGTAGCTGGACCTCGAGGGGGCACTGGCTAGAGATGGGGATGTTTGGAGGTCTGCGAATACCAAAGCGGGCCTGGTGGGGGCGGAAGCCTGCCAGAGGCTAGAGCCACCGGCTGCTGCGGGTACTTTGTCCTCATCCTCCCTTTCATCTTCAGCCTTCCGAGCCCCGGAGTTTCTCAATGGAGCAGGCGCGCGCGGAATGCTCTGCAGGGGGCTGAGGGGGCTGGTCTGGGGGGGTGGACATTCCAGGCATTCTTCGCTTCCTCTAGGAGTCAGGCTGCGGGGGCGGGGCGGAGCGGGGAGAAGCAGCCCAGCTCGGGAGAAGAGGGGATTTCTCAGGAGAGAGAGAATGAAGGCTGTAGGGCCGTCTTCAGGCGCGGGGGTGGGGCTGGCAGGGCTTCAAGCCGATGGGGGAGGGGATGGGAGAAGCCGGAGAGGGAAGGATTGGGGGTGGGACTGGATAATCTGCCAAATACAGTTCTTCCTTTAGAGCTGAAGGCAGAAAAAGCAAACTGGAACCTTGGGTCCAGGGCTTCCCCACCTGTGTGCTTAATAGGGTCTAGCCAGAACTACTGATGCAGGTGTAACGAGAAGCCTTGGGAAGCTAGGAGTGCAGGCTTATTTTGTTTCATTGATTAAGCAGTTTCTCGATTTCTCACACCCAACACCCCACTCTCATCCCGCAGCACAGGGAGAATGTGTATTAAGAGAAGATGCAGGCTCGGCGCCTATAGCTCAACCGGCTAAGGTGCCAGCCACGTACACCTAAGGTGGCGGGTTCGAATCCCCAGCCCGGACCCGCCAAACAACAATGACGGCTGCAACCAAAAAATAGCCGGGCGTTGTGGCGGGCGCCTGTGGTCCCAGCTACTTGGGAGGCGGAGGCAGGAGACTCGCTTGAGCCCAGGAGTTGGAGGTTGCTGTGAGCTGTAATGCCACGGCACTCTACCCAGGGGGACAGCTTGAGGCTCTGTCTCAAAAAAAAAAAGAGAAGATGCAAAGACTTTCATCCCACCCCCTCCCAAAGAGAACTACAGAGGCTGTTTCCCAATCACCATTCTGCTTTTAATGGGGGATTCTTTCTGGCCTCCGAGGAAGGGAGGAGGATCATTAGGTAGACAGGGGTGCAGTGAGGGGACCCAGAGGCCCATCTCCAGACAGTCCAATAGGACATGTGGGTTTGTAAAAAGATGCCCTCCCCATGACCAGTAGAAACCATTGCAAAAATATCTCTGTACACAAAACTTAGATGTCATAGTGGATTTTACCAGAACAAAGCATTCACATTATCGGAAACAGCAAGATTCACTTTTCATAAAACAGGCTTTTGAGAACCTAAAAATAAATACGGACATTCTAGGGTCCTGAAGGCCCAGAGAAATAGACAGATTCATAGTCTAGGGTAGACTTTAGGAGCAGCTTAGAGCAGAAGTTCTGAGTCTCTGAGGTCAAAGGTGGGGTCCAGAGGAGTCTGGGCCCCTTGAGATGAAGTTCATACAGCAGCCTGAGCCTTTTCAAGTCTTTTAGATTCATAGCAGCGATTCCAGGAAGCTTGGGCCCGGCTGGGAGGATGGGAAAGGGGAAAGAACCTTTGAGGAAACAGAAGTTGTGTCCTCTTACACCTAGGATAAGTAAGGAAAGGTTAACTCCAGACCATTCCCAGGATACCCAGGCACATTAGGGGGGCACAATCCAGTTGAAGCAGTTGGTGGGGATGGGAACATGTGTGAAGACAGGCCAGCCCACTTTGGCAGGGAATGGGTAGGGCAGGGGCTGCTCTGAAAGGCACCTTGTATGAAACTTATCCATGGCAATAAAGGACATAGGCACTGGAGCACACTTTCCAGGTCCCTGCAGCCCTACCATGTGTACAAGAAACAGGCAACCCAGGCTCTGCTGCTGGCCTGCCCCTTCCACTGTTTCTCTATTCCTTCCCCCTCTCTTATCTTCCTGGTTCAACAGGGCTGAAGATGCTGAACCCCTGAAGCACTCCACGTGCCTGCTTCCCATATCCAGCCCAGCCAGGGCTCTACTGCACACCACCTCAGCCTTCTGAGCTGGGATGCTGGGGCCTGGGACGCAGGGGAGAAGCATCTCCAGTTAGGGTGCAGCCAGCTGCATTTTAAAGCCTGCCCAAACCGGGGCAATCTGCCTCCCTCCTCAGCTGAGCTTTGAGCAGACCCCTAGTGCCTGTCGGTAGGCCTCAGTCACCTCCTGGCAGTCAGTCAGGGAAAAGCAGCTATCCCCCAGGGGGTCCTGCCGCCAGCGCCTCAGGCAGCTTCCAGGGCCCTCTGAGGGGGGCTCCTCAAGGCCCATGAGGTCGTCCACAGACACACAGCCCCGCAGTGGGGGCTCGGGGAGCCGTTCAGGCAAGTCCAGTTGGTCAAAGGACTCGGAGGACAGTATGCTGTCCTCACTTACAGCCCCTGTGGGACGGCTTGCCCGGGTAGGGGGGCGAGGTGAGGCCAGTTCATCCAAGGAGCCGAAGGTGGTAGGGGCTGTAAGCTCCAAGGCTGTTCGGGAGAATTTGCCGTTCAGTTTGAGAATGCCCTTGCGATGGAGGAGCAGCCCTGAGGCTTGGGGGGGCTTCTGTTCCACAGGGTCCCCACTCACAAACACGTCACCTGCATCCAGGAGTTCCCCAGACTCACTGGGTTCAGGAGAGGAGTAGTAGCCAGACTCACGCTGCCGGGACTTCTTGAGGATGCCCTTCTTGGGGGCCAGGGGGGCAGCCTGCCCAGGGATTGTGGGGAGTGGGCTGAGCTCCTGGGGGTCCTCCTTTGCCCCCTCTAAAGAGGTTAACGCCTTCTTCTTGAGAATGCCCTTTGGCAGCTTAAGGTTGCCTTTGCCAGTTCGAGTGGAAGTGTCATCAGCTGGGTCACCCTGGAAAGACTGGGCCATGTCATTCTCCCTGCGGGACTTCTTGAGTGAATGCTGGCGCTCCACACCAGGGGCCGTGCCTCCACCGCCTGGAGTATGCTGCTTGAAGAAGCTGCATACTTTGGCCCCATTCTCCAGGAGGGGGCGGGAGGAGCGCCGGAGCCAGTCAGCCATGGAAGCCCGGGCAGAGTCACTGCCAGGGTGCCCACCCTCACGCAGAGCTTCCTGCTCCCCTACACGGGTGGCATAGCCCCAGTTGACCCACCAATGACTGGCGACATCCTCCAGAGTGGCCCGGCGGGTGGGGTTCACCATTAATAGCCACCGGATCAGGCCACAGGCATCTGGAAGACAAAAGGCAGGGGCTTTAGTTTGGCAGCTCCAGGAATGGACACCCCATGGGCCCCCTCACTGACTTACCCCTGATTTGAGCTAAGATGCTGCTTACCCCTGGGTCAGATATAGCCACTCTGACCTAGGGCTCTACGTGCCATTTCCAGCCAGCTCCCCAGTCCAGCTTTCCTGGATTGCCTCTTTGTCTCATGACCCCTTAAGACTATGACCCTTCAGGAGCTCTTATGTGTATGTTAATGTGTATTCTCTTTGCCTCTGCTGAAACTCAATCTTCTGAGGGTAGAGACTGTGCTCAAGGGCAAACTAAGGCTGTCACATACTTCTTCCTGCCTTCTACCTCATAGTGAAAGTACAAAAAGGTTTCTGAGGATGAGAACAAAAACAAGAAATGAGACAGCTGTAGCAAAGCAGACCTAAGTTAGACCTTAGGCAGCACCTCCCAGATATTACCAAGCCTGCCCATGAGGGAAGGAAGAGACATCCCTCTTTCCTCAGAGGTCTTAGACACTGGAGAGATGACAGCGGAAGGTCCCCTAATCTTCTGCAGGTCGCAATGGAATGTGTCCTCTTCACTGCAGTGCCTGTGTTTACTTCCTCCCCTAGATAAGAACCCCCACACCTCCCACTCACCAGAGGGTTTGGGTGGCTCCTGGTAGGCCCCGTTGCTGATCTGTTTCACCAGTGTCTTATGGTCCTGCCCGTCAAAGGGCATGGTGCCATGCACCAGGATGTAGAGGAGAACACCCAGTGACCAGCTGTCCACCTGAGAGAGAGGGAGAGATAAGCAAGGATGCCCATATCCATACCTAGGGGTGCCAGCCTGACCTTCAACAGCAGGTAAGAAAAGGCACTTGCTGGACAACTCAGGTCAGCACATCTGAGGACCAGCCCCCTCTGGTACCCAAGGGCAATGAGGGGGACACTGCACAGGGACTGAGGCTCTTAGAAAGAGATGTAATCACAGCATAAGGGTAATAGCTCTTCTGGGCCAGGGTGGGTGGTTGTGGCGGATACCAACTCTATATCAAGGCTGGATTGGGCACGAGGAAAGGTAATGAGAGCAGGAAAGGTGAAGGTGTGAAGAACTAGACTAGGAGCCAGGTGGCCTGGATTCTAGTCCTAGTTTTGCTGCTACTAGCAAGTCACTACTTGAGGGGGGCCCTGAGTTTTGTGGTCTGAAAAAAGGAATAACTAGATAACCAGCCCATCTATCTCATGGGATCTGAAGTCCTAGGAAGTGACTAAGGCAAGTTGGCAGTGGAGGGCAGCCACTTACCTCCGGGCCGATGTATGGCTTCCCGTTGACGATCTCTGGTGAGGCGTAGAGAGGGCTCCCACAGAATGTCTGCAGGAATTTGCCTTGGTGGTACAGGTTGGAGAGGCCAAAGTCAGCGATCTGCAGGATTAGGGCAAGTGTGGACACAGTTCAGGCCAAGGTGTGGGTTATTCCACAGTTCTTGGCATACTCTTCTTCAGACCCTGGGGAATGCCAGGCCCCAATAGAAGGAAAGGGTCCCCATAACCCCTACCCCACACTGGGCACTTTCCACATAGCTCTAGTCCTGGAAGAGTGAGCACTGAGCAGGTATGCAGCTTAGGAGCACCCAGGCAGAGGTATGCAGGGGCTCCAGGATCCTCACGGTTCCCTGGGCACTTTTGCTCATGCTGCATCTCACCCCAGAGATCCTCTCTCCTGCCTGCCTCCAGCAAGCCCACCTGCCCTGGGAGGCTTTCTGCTGCCTTGAGATCTCCTCTTCCTACAAAGCCCGACAGTGGCGTATGGCTGCCAGGAGTCCCAGCCCCTCCGTGCTGCTGCCTCCCAGCCAGGCTCTGCATTCCCACACTGCCCTCCTTCCTCCACTTCTCCTGCAGCTGCTAGCCTGGGTGAGACCCTAGATGAAAGCTCAGTGGACACTTACTGGCTGAAAGGAGGGTCAGCCAGATTGAAGGGGATAGCCAACTTCTTATGCCAATGCATAGCCCTCAGGACCACCCATGAACAGAGGAGCCCTTCATAGCAAAGGGCTTATTCCTCTGCCCACACCTGAGCAGGAACTTGGCAGCAGGAACCTGGGGTTGGCCCAGAGTAGCTAAGAGTAGTTAAGAAGCAATAGTGGGGGCAGAGCAAGAGCTAGGCCTGTGGTAATACCCTGGAAGGGAACTTTTCACAGGACTGCCTGACACCAAGGGCCTGAAAGGTCCCACCCATCCTCTTGCTCCCTGGAGAGAGCCTTTCCCAGCTATCTGCAGTTAGAGGCTAAGGCCAATGACCTACTGCTCCCCACCCCATCAGAGGGTTATACGTGCCTGGGAAGGGGAGGGGCTGTGTATGAAACTCTGGCTCTTTCATTTATGGTTTTATTGACCTCTTATCAAGCAGTTACCAATAAAGCCCATAGTGAGGCCTATGATTGGTATAGATAGGAAAGTTCATGCCTGTCCTGGTTATGGGGTTTATTGGTTCCTCCGGTCAGCATCAAAGAGAGCCCCACCTACTCTGGGAATTGGCTGCTAAGGGAATGACTTAGCACTGGGACACCTCAGGGCACAGGTCAGGAGCCACAGGAGGAGACTATGCCTTGAGTTCAGGAAGATTCTGAAGAGGGTCAGAGGACAGTCACCCTCCAAGGTGTCTGCTAGGGGCTAGCCTCTTCCCTGCCTGAGCCAGCCCTTGCCATGGCCTCCTTCCTGAGATCTGAGCGTTTCCCACAAACCTGAGCTTCTCCTGATTGACCTAAATTTAACTCTTTAGGAATAGAAATCCAGCAGCAGAGAGAGGAAGCTGGTACTGAAGTGCTCGGTCAGTGGGGAAAGGTGCCACGTGGCCACCCAACTGTAGCAGATTAAAGCGTGCCTCTGCGTGTGCATGCAAGTGTGCACATGTGTAGGCGGGGAGAAGAAGTCTTGGCCTATACCAAGATTGTGAGCACAGCTGAGCCTAGATCTAAACTCTTGTCAGTTGTGTAATGTCAAACAAAAGACCACCAGTCTAGAAGTCAGAAGACCTTGGTTCTAGCCCAGGCTCAACTACTCACTAGCCGTGTGACCTTGTGCAAGTCGTCCTTCCTCTTGAGGCCTCCGTTCTCCATCCAGCAAATGAGGTGTTAGAATGGATGAGGTCCCTACCAGTACTAATATGTAAGTCTGATCTCTGCTCACTCCTTCAGGAACCCACTAAGAGCTTAGAGCTACATGGCTGGGGATGGTGCAGAAAAGCTAAGGTGGGGCAGGGAAGCTTGTGGAAATGAGAAGTGGGTGGGGCTCACCTTGATGTTTCCATTGGCATCTAGGAGGATGTTCTCCAACTTGAGATCCCGGTGAACAATTCCATTCTAACAGAAGGACAGAATAGAGTCAGGGGAAGGTCACCAGAGAAGGGAAGAGGATAAAGGGCCTAGTCTGGAAAGTAGGATAAACTCAAAGGGAGCCAACTGGGGTTCAGCACAAGTAGGCTGGGAATACCCATCTTTATTGGCTTATGGTGCAAGAAATCACAGCCCCTTCCATTCCTGGCTAAGAGATTCAGTCGGAGACACCAGTGTTTCCTTGTCTAAGAATCCAGAATCCAGTCTTGCCTCTTGTTTCTGCCTCTGTATCTGATCCTGGACACACTGTGGAATCTCTCTGGTCTAAACCAGGCCCAGAGAACCCCTAAACCACCCCCTCAGAAGATGGCTGGGGCAGATGGGTGCTCACCTGGTGGCAGTAATGAACGGCAGAGACGATTTGCCGGAAGAAATGCCGGGCATCATGTTCACTGAGCCGCTGCCGCTCACTTATGTAGTCATACAGGTCTCCCCGGCTGGCGTACTCCATGACGATCACGATCTTGCTGCTGTTCTCAAACACTGAACAGGGCAAGGTGGGGAATGTCAGGCCCTCCCCAAATCTGTTCTTTTTGGCCCTAAACCAGACAGGACCTCCTTCTAGAGATGTCTGCTAATCAGGCTGTGGGGAAAAGGCCTTTGAAGCTCCTTGCACCCCCAAGGAGGAATGAGATAAGGCTAAGGACACTACCTTGCCCTCCCCATCCTTGGAAAGGTTCTGAAAACTACTCTGGCTCTGTGCCCGTAGCTAAGTGGTTAGGGCACTGGCCATATACACTGGGGCTGGTGGGTTTGAACCTGGCCTGGGCCTGCTAAAACAAACAAACAAACAAAAAAAAACCACGACAATGACAACTACAACAACAACAAAAATAGCCGGTTGTTGTGGCAGGTGCCTGTAGTCCCAGCTACTTGGGAGGCTGAGACAAGAGAATTGCTTAAGCTCAAGAGTTGGAGGTTGCTGTGAGCTGTGA